CGATTCTCGAGATGGTTGTTAGAGATGTGTAAACAACTTCACAATCTTACCATCTTGGGCATACGCCCGCCTCACATCATCATGCAACGTTGAAGATGTTACTGAGGACGTCATAACCGCAACAGTGACTGTCTCACTGTTGGGTTTCACGACTGTTTCAAAGTCGGGACGACGTGAGAGTGCATCAGCGACGACATTAAGTCGTCCTGGTTTGTACTCGACCATAAAGTTGTATTCCGCAAAGAATGACAACCACCGCGCCATACGTTGTGAAAGGTGCGGGCTGTTCACTGCCGTGTGTAATGACGCATGATCAGTGTAAACAATGAAGGGTCTATCTCCCAATAGATAGACTCTGAATTTTGCGAGTGCATACTTCATGGCAAGGAGTTCCTTGTCATGCACTGGATAGTTCCGCTCAGCTGGTTGCAGCTGACGCGACTGATAGCAGACGACGCGTTCAACACCTTCAAGATCGTACTGCATCAATGCACAGCCGATCGCGAAATCGCTGGCATCACAGACCACATGAAATGGCCTGCCCTGATCGGCAATTGCTAGGACTGAGGATTGTATCAAGCTCTGCTTGATACCATTAAAGTAGCGCTGACATCCAGCGTTTTATGACCACCTCTCGTTCTTTTTGAACGAACGAGAGAGGTGTACCGTCATCTCGGCTTAATTGCGTGAATACTTATGCAAATGCGCCGCTACAGCCCAATAAATTTTCGAAGACCTTTGAAGTCAACCGGCACAGGCCAGTCGGTGATCGCCTTGATCTTTTCGGGATCAGGACGGACACCGTTCTTACCAACGATGCACCCAAGAAGTGGTATTTCGCTTGCTGCAAATATACACTTCTTGAGGTTTGCATACAATTGATGCTTTCGCATGATTGTAAGAACCTGTCGGACGTGGTACCTGTGAACCTCAACATCCGACTTTCCACCCATAGCCCGACTATGGATGAATACGTCATCGAAATAACTCGGCGCGAATTCTCGTACTGGTCTCAACAGATGTGATACACATCTGTTGAACGTGGCAGGGGCATTACTAAGCCCTTGTGGCATTACTAGCCATTCCTAGAGCATGCCGCTAGGCGTGCTAACTGCGGTATAGGGTATGTCCCGTTCTCGCACAAGAATTTGATAGAATCCATCCATCAAATCCATGGACGAAAAGATGGTACTCTTTGACATACCATCAATGATTACGTCCTTCCTTAGTATCGGCGTCTGAGCCGGTACCGTTGCAGAATTCAACTTGTTAAATGCATGCACTATTCGCCACCCTCCTGTTGCTTTTCGCACACATAAGGTCGGAGAGCTATGTGGGGAAGTTGATTCCCTCACATGGCCCGCAGCTAAACGATCGGCAAAGAACTTGTCGATCGCAAGTACTTGTTCACGAGGCAGTGGCCACTGCTTCATGACACAGTACTTCGAGCCTGGTTTAAGCTCGACCTCATGTCGAGTACCTTCATCCTTCGGTAATTCGCACGGAACAGTTTCAGGGAATACATCCTTAAATTCAACCAAATCCTTATGGAGAGGATTTGTCTTGAGCGATTCCCACGATTGGGAGTCATATCGCTCAACTCGTGTCTTTTCATCTAGGACACTCTCGTCCATAGATGAACTACTGATAACTCTCTCGTTCTCAGTAAACACTGTTGCTGACCTTATGTCGGCTACACACTCGTCGTCAGCGACGAGTACGCAGATCTGCTTGACTTTGCCACTACGCAGATCACGCAAGAACCTTTTATGTTCGAGCGTTGGCAACTGAGTGATCTCCGAAGTCAACTTCGTAGGCGCAATCAGATTAAGTGTACAAGCGCCTACACTTGATCCGTTATTGACTATGACATTCAACGTCTCTGTCATTTCCTGGGGACTTATTCCCTCAGGCCTCGAAGGACTTATTCCTTCGTCTTCCCGGGGACTTATTCCCGCGGGTTTCGGGGAACTTAGTTCCGCCGTATTTATAATATCGGGACTTATTCCCTTAACTTCCTCTAGCTGGGGTTGCGCAACCACAGCGAGCTCCTCTACGAAAGACTCTCCAGTCGATCCAGGATTATCGTTTCGCTTAACCTGAGCGATCGATTGTTTCTCTTCTAGATGTTCCCCGCTAGGGATACATCTTTGTCCCGGTCCGCTCGACTTATTCGAGTGGTGGACCTTCGGCGCAGCCTGTGTTTCCTCACAGCCGCCGGAACTTTGCTCCGAAGTGTAACCGTTTGTTACACTAAGGTTTTGTGCAGTCGTACTAACGACCGTACCACAAGTGAGGCCATCGCACTCACTCGTAGTACATCCACACGCTTGTGGACGCTCCAAAACGTTCTTTAGATGGCCATCTGATGAACAAGCGGCAGGCATCGTTACTGTTCGGTGTTGCCAGTTTACCCGTGGTTCGTACCTTCTAAGCCACGGTATTCCAAGGATGACATCAAATTTGTCATCCGAATCCAATACGATATAGTCATCATCATATTGGATATCTTCTAGCGTATAGCGAATGTTCACTATACGTTTCATGACGGTTACGGATGCGCCTGTCGCAAGACGTACCGTCATCTTTGTAGGAGGTGTGTCACACTCAACAAACTTGAAGTGACCATCTTCTAGCGATTGGCGTCGCACAAAATTGTTGGACGCCCCACAATCAACTAGAGCTCGAAGGGACAACTTATTTGTCACTTCGAGTTTCAAGGTAATGAGCGAGATCTCATTACCTAGAACAGCAACGCACAATAATTGTGTGTTCGGAGCAACCTTCATCAAGAGGCCTGCAAATTCTCTTGACGTTGCTGGACCAGTAGGGTGCTCCGCACCTACTGATCCTGTCCGTTTTTTGACGGTCCATCCCGTTGTTGCGTCTTTGCACCAACAGCGGACCCGCGTCCCTGCCCCTTTCTCATGGGTGGACGGTCATTACGCCCAGTGTTGCGAGACACTGGACGAGGGGCACTACACTCGTAAGCGTAGTGTCCTGTCTTCTGACATCTGTTGCATTTCTGCAACTTCTTGTAGTCTGTAGAGCGAGCCTTCTCGCTCTCTACATAACAGAGTTCCATCGGCTCTGGACCTCCGTTGTCATATCGTCTCGCTTGACGATATGATGTCGAGCTGGCGCGAGCCTGTCTCAGACTAAAGTCTTCCTGTTCCGCAATGGAAATGGCTTGTTCTAGTGAATCTAGTTTAAGTCGGAACAGGTGAGGCTTGACGGGACCATCCACAAGACCCTGCATGAACACCGAAACCAACGTGTGTTCATCAACCGGGTTGGAACTTATACAACTCGTGAGATGTCGTATATGTTGCGAGTAAGCGTGCACATCACGCTTACCTTGTTTGAGCTTCAAGAGTTCAGTTCGAGCTCTGAAATCAGCTCTAGGCGGTTCAAACGTTTGTCTGAGCCGCGACTTGAAGACTTCTAACGACCCAAACGCATATGGGTCGTGCAACTTGAGCCCCAGTGCCCAAGTCTTGGCACGTCCTGCCAGATTTGACTGGGCAAATGCAACTTGCATATCCCCATCGTCGATGCGACGCGCCCTTATGGCGTCATCCAATTCGACGAACCATCTCAAGAGGGAGTCCTCTTCGACTCCCCTATACTTAGAGATGTCAATCTTCAAAGTCTCGGGTCGACGCGAGTGCATCGACCCACCAGCAGCAGCCTGCTGCTGTCTCAACAGTTTAAACTGTTGAGCACCCTGTTCTCTCAACAACTCTGCTTGTTGAGAACCTTGTTGGTGAAGCAAGGCTACTTTCTCGCGTGCGGCGTCAAGTTCATTTTGAATGAACTTGGCGATAGTAGCATGTTGGGCATCTCTATTGAGAGCCTCTATCATGACGCTAACAGCATGGATGCCCATGGTGGAACCTATCCGTTCAACCGCATCCCATTCGACATCGCTCAAATAGGAGTAGCCGTCACGCGGAGCGTGAAAGCTTTAATCATCTTCATCATCTAATTTATTCATGTTAGATGTGAACGTGGTCCTTGGACGGACTACAAAGTGCTACCAGGTGTAACGGGGCACCCTGAAGCTTGTACTGGTGACAGTACAAGCTACTTATTCCGATGACAGAATAAGGCGGTGCCCCGGAACTTCACGTACACTCGTTCGTGCAGAGGAAGACGGTAAGAAGAAGCGAGTACTTGGTTAAGGTAAAAAGTAGAACTGTATTTATCATAGTTAATGTCTGTTAATAAATCACTATTTATCCTCATCTAACTATGTCTGAATACAAATGTGTACATCAACTATCTGCTCACCACTCATTGCGTGCGTCTGTCGTGGCGCGTCTTCGTTGGTTGATATAATGGCCTATATCAACCAATTAGGAGCTACTCGTAAGTGCTACAGAATATTTGTCCTTATGACAATATTCTGAGAATATAACTCTTATAGTTATATTCTGTTAACAATTTCTTATAAAGTGTTATGTAACGATTCACCCCATTTACAATACTCGTCTCGACGCGAAGTTTTTCGAAGAAGTTCAGGGCGTTTTGCATCAAAGGGCGTTGGCGTTGTGAGGGTCAGGTACAGGAGGCTCTGTAGATGCTGAATGGTCAGGAATCAACGTCTTTCGAGGCAGATTTTTCGAGCTTTATTGGAAGTTAAATCGACTCATCAACCACATGATGTTGTTCCGTATCGGTTGACCATATGTCGAGAGCATTTGTTATGTCCAGGTGTCTTTTGCAAGCAAAAAACCAGGGCGTCATAAGAAACTGGCTTCCGCGGAAGTCAAAATGCGCATAGAATCTCTTGCCTCAATTGTCTAAAACCCAATCGGAGCGTCATGTTCTGTATAAGTAGCTTCTCAATCGACTTTGTCATAACGTCCGTCGTCAGACGCCCTCCATCTTCGCTTCACTGCTCATCCACGCACCGCTTTCTCTCGTTTAACTCCCCACGCACCTCCCACACAAGTTGACACAACCGTCAGCACCATCACATTGTCACTTTTGCTTCCATGCCGCCCGAGCAGGTCCGCTCGCGCTACTTAACAGCCACTGCGTCTCTCGTCGCCCCGTCACAACGTCACGACCGCCACCTCGTCCTCCTCCTCCCTGTGCAGCAGCCAGTGACGCTCCACGACGTGGAGCAGCGTCTCCTGCAGCTGGACGCCGAGCTGCCGCCGGACGGGAAGCGCCGCCGCCTGGTCCAGGCCGAAGTCAAGCGGCTGCGACACTGCGAGACGGTGCGGCAGTCGCGGGTGCGGAAGAAGAACCAGAGGAAGGGACTGCAGCGAGTGAACGCGGAGCTCGAGCGCCAGTTGCAGCTGCTGCTGCGCGCCCGTGATAACCAGGGAAGCGCCCGCTCGAACCGGCGGATCGCCTCGGTCAGGACCGATTTGGTGCGACGATTTGTTGACTTAATGGAGCAAGTTCGTCGTCTACGGACGGACAACGCGGCGCTCCGAGACGAAGTTTTGCTGTACGAGGCCCTGGGCGAGCAGCTCGAGCGGCTGCAGGTGGATTTCGCTATTCCACGAGCACTTTTGCGCGAAAGTGATGGGAGACTGTCGATTGGCACGGTCCACTTTGAACCGCTGCGTGTGGAGGACGTGAGGGCTCTTTTAGTGGCTTCGCATGCACAGGCGACGTCGTTTTTTGAGACGATGCGACGCGTCGAGACGGCAGAAGAAGACAAGACGATGGGCTGGACGCAGCACCAGCGCATCACGAAGGACGGACGCGTGCAGTTTAACTTCACGAAACGCATTGAGACGATTGGGACGGACGAACTGGTGCACAAGAGCTGGGCAATGTACTGCGACTTTGGACTGTACCACGGTATTTACTCGTCGGTGCAGAAGCTGGAGATTTTGCAGAAGATTAATGACGACACGCTCTTGATTCGACGCGATCTGCAGGAACAACCGTCGGCGCCTATTTTTCGCACCGTCTTTTTGTTATTTCGCATCAAACTTCCGAATGGGTACCTCATCTGCTTTCGGTCGCATAACCCGGCAGTGTGTGTTGTCGACGACGACGACGACCCGAGTGTTCAGTGGATGGAGATGTTTTATTGGCTCATGATTACAGATTCGAACGTCGAAAGAGGACACGACGGACCTGTAGACATGTCGATGTCGCGAGTGCGAGGCTGCGACGTGTCGTTCGGAGGCAATTTGCTCAATAGTCGAAGTGCTAAACATGCTACGATGTGGAAGTATCAGATAGCGATGGCGCTGCTACGATGGGAGAGTAACGCCGTTGCGCCATTGTTTTCGCTGTTTGGATAGGTGTGATCGTGGACTGCAACTTGTACAGATCTTTTTTGGCAGCTCGGTCGTGGCTTAATGGTTCCACGTGTTTGACGATCTCACACCTGATCTTTTGCCAGCTCAATGTGAACGGCGTGTGCGCATGTTAGAGAAGACATTTGGATGAGTCCAAGTCCACGAAACAGTGTGTCCAGTAGAATAAATAGCCTCGGCAGTTGTTTCACTTAATCTGACCATGGGCGAAATGCATAGCGGCTTCTGACTTGGATGGGTGTTTGTTGCATGCTTAACCCACCTCCTGGACATCATGTTGGCCCTTGGTTCCACTCGCGTATCGAACAAGGGTCACAACGAAAGGTGGACTAAGCTCAAAATGCTTTGGTCGAAGCTTCAGCTACGCACATGTCGCTTCTCTTCTGAACGCGGGCTTTCTAGATCTTGTACAAGCGCGATGTCCTCGCTGCCATTGGATTCGGTTCGCTGAGCTGGCTGTGACATCCCAGCGTTTTCGTGCAAGCCGGAAGTAAGCGACGGACCAGTCCGTTGGTCTTTTTCAACCTCCTTCGTAGACCCGGCGCATCCGCTCGTCGTGTTATAAGTCGCTTTTGAGTTTGCTGGCTTGAAGGCTGAAGTATTCCCAGATGCGCAGTTTGACTTCGAATCGACGACAAGCCATCGGTTGACAACGCAGGCGCCGAGAAGCTTGCTATCTCAGCATTAGAACGCCGCACAAAATGCAGGCTTGGGTCCCGATTGGAGTTGTTTGGCGAGTCGTTGTCGAGAAATGGTTGACATGTCGCTGGGTGATGGAAAGCGTATGAGCAGGGTGAGATAAGTATTGTGTGCTTTTGACGGGCGCTGGAAAGCTGGGAACGGTCGACCATTTGGCGTACATGGTCGATCTTGGTGTCGAATTTAACTGGTCACACAACAGGACGGATACCTGACTCGTTTGGTAAACAAAGAGAATTTGGTGTTATGGCGAAGGCGATGGCTGTACACTCCCGTCGTGACCAGCTCGCTCTTGAGTAACATTACTTCATTCAGCCAGCGCGTGCCCCACGAAAGTAATGTGATGCTTGTCAGCCGGTATGAGCTCACTGACCAGGTCGGACACGACTTTGAATCGGTGCAGGATGACTGAAATCACTTTCAGTCCAGGGTTCGTACGAGACATCGCGTTCCTTCTGCGTGCTTCGACAGCGACACTTTGAGCACTGCAGCGTCAGGGTCATCTTGAGTACTAGACTTGCGGTGTATGAATGCAATGCCTCATCGGACGAGGTAGAGAGGCAGCATCAGAAAGTAATGTACCTATAGAGCGCTCGATCGTATCAACCGTCAAACCATATCATTCGCTTGTCTACAAGCGGAAGTGTGAGGGGTGTATACGGCAGCGCTCCATTTATCCATTGGCATGTCGACTGACGGAGGAGAGAAGTGTCAGATCAAGGCAAGTGCTGCATCGCAATTGCTACTGGTAATCTTTACTGCCAAGACGGACATCAAGTTGCGTGCGCGGCTACAGTTGAAGGCACTTCAATTCGAAAAGTCTGGAGGTGTACTGCATCTGACACAATGACGATGGATTGCAAGGCGTGAAACACATGCTGTCGCATGGACGGGTTAATTTGCGCTGGTGAATCGCTAGCAAAGAGTTCGGCAGTGTTCGTCGTCTTTTTTGCGTGAACATTATTGCTGGTTCAAGGCGAACTCGAAAACATGCCATTGCACTTACGAAATCACACATCTATCATGAAGTCGCTGGGCGTGAGTGCAGCCGACTGGAGATCAAGTGCTGATCGGCTTCGCACCGTTTTCCTAGGTACAAGCGAGTACTGAGCTGTATCAAACTACGGTCGGGTCGGATTACGGGTGACTCGTAATCCGACCCGACATCAAATCTCGGATCTTTCCATTCGACGGTCGAGTGCTGATCCTGCGTGGACAAAGATGGTGGCCAAAGACACGCTGCCTCTTCTTTTCGGGACAACCTCTTCTCCCCATCACGTCTACTTTCGAGGATGGCGAGGCTTTGACCTGCGTTCGTTGACCAAATGACTAACCGAAAATTTGCCATCGGCCGTATACGCAGCTCTTATCGAAGGAGTAGATGCCGGACAGCTTGTAAGCCATAAAAGAATGAGAATCTAGAACCTTAAGCAGCTTCCACAACGAAGTGTTTCGCGCAGCGTTGATTAGACTCTCTATCGATTGAACCAGCTGTAAGCAGCGCATAAAGCTACCAAGCACGAGCAATCGTGCGGTCGAGTGCCCTCACTATTGTCGTGGAGTAGAATTTAACGACGCTGTATGTTTATAAGCATCGCTTTCCGTCAACTTCTTTTCTTAATTGACATTCCGTCAACACAGAAAGCAGTCCGGCCCCGTGCTCAGAAGTCTAAACACCATCCGTTGCTCAATGTGTCACATGGCGAGGATGACATCGTTTGTCGACATGGTCCTCGTCGTGTCACCTATTCAGCGATAAGACTCATAGACGTCTCTCTCATCGACTTAATTTCGCCCTGATGCGAAAGTTTGTCGCGCCATGCCGCCCACAACCTGGTCAAAGCCTTCCGATCCGACATGTTTCGACACGACGGCCTTACATCATGAAACCCGTGAACTGAAGTTTGCGGACGCGTTTCGACCAGAGATGCATGACAATCGATCTAGCACACATTCTACTCTATTTCTTCTTGACAAACGTATCGCGTCGTCCCACGCATTATATCGACTGGAACAGGGCCGCCGAACTGCGAAGCTAAGACGGACAGTTTCACTAATGTATCTTTACATTGAGAGTAGGATTCGGACAGTCCTGAGCATATAAGCTGTTGACGGGTGCCGATCAAGGCGTTACCTTAAGTAAATGACTATCAAGTCACACTTGGTCATCATTACACAGCACATACGACGTCAACGATTACGGTCGTGTCAGTTTTTACACACAGGTCACTTGCTTGCTGAAAATCCTTTCGTTTCTGAGCCTGTTCCCGGGACATGTTCGAATTTGGAAGGTGCAGATTGCTGACCAGGAAGTCGTGGCTTCTTTAGTGCATCGCTCTATAGCTAGACGTTGGTCCAGCTAACTCGCTGCGAGTGGATCTCTTGGCTTGCAACGGCGGCTGGCTCATGGAGTCGAAGCCACAGTAAGCTTCTCGGGATCTACCCTTCCTATCTTTTCTACCGACTGAGTGACAATGATGAAAGTCGGCAATCAGCCATTACCGTCTCCAGGATCCAATACGTTGCAGTAGATCATCAATGTCAAGTTGTTTGCGATGCAAACGCGCAAATGCTAAAGCAGCGAGTCAATGGAAGTCACACTTGTTACGCCATCCGAACGAAGAAGCGTGATCTGAAAGATCGAAGACGTTCCTAAAGCCACGTGTATGTCCACCACTTCCCGATCGGCGGCCAGCTGCAACAACAGACAGAGACGAGACTCTCCGGGAAGCCAGAAAACTGGTCCCCTTGCATTAAGCGGGAAGTCCCCCATAGTGGGGTCAAGGTCAAAGCGGTGCACTCCACGCCTTGACGCCCAACGTCTTGAGCTAGCAAAAGGAGAAAGTTAGGAGTAGCAAGACTGTGTCGTGGTAGATGACACGAGGTGGTCACCATAAAACCAGCCCTCCTATTCGTGAAAAGTTGCTATAATAGACAGTCTGAGTCTCTCTCACGTACATGTCGAAGAGTATCCTCGGCTATCCACCCTGCTCTGACTACAACGATGGTGCTAGTCATGCGGACATAATCTGTGTACCGTTTTCCACCGGTCACGATCCATAGTCTCATCGGGATCGTCCAAACAGCACCGAGCTGTCGCAGCGGACGTGGAAAACAAGCAGCGAAAAACGCTGTCCACAACCTGTGCGCTACAACAGCATTTTCAACTCATTCAATGAATCATCTAAGGTAGCGGCGGCTGCAGGTTTCGTGCATCGGCGATCCACGCCAAGACATGACGAACAGTCACGTAGAAGTCACAATGATCGACAAGAAGCGCGGTCGGCGTACTCCGTGATCAATTTCCAGATGTCTCACGGACGATCAGCTCTGCGCGAGATGACATCCATCGCCTATCTCCACGCGCAGCACATTTCATGTCGCCGCTTTCGGTGCAATGCCGAGACGTGTTTACTCGATATCCGGCGTCAGCAGGTCAGCGCTTTCCCTTCACTTGATGGGCATGAGACGAGATCCATCGTGTTCACCAATGTCCACGCACCGCTTTATATTGTGCAAATGTAAGCTCAGACCAGTCCGTACGTCCTAAGCAGCCGCTTGGACTGCAAATCTGTGCAGGCGACTCGTTCACACTCCGCGCGTGCGGACGTCCAGCTGATCTCAGAAGCGATAAACTCGTCGTTTTATCTTTTGCCACGACGTCAACACAAGTCGCAACGCAGCACAAGCGACTTCAGGTGGATTGATCATTTCCGCTTTTGCCATCTCTTCCACCACATACCACCGGTGCCTTCCTTCCTTCCTTTGTTCCACTTCACAAGAGTTGCAGCCTTCACAATGTTCGGCTTGTCGAAAGAAGGACCTTTTTTCACGGGCGAGGACTTCAAGTCCGCGTTCAACCTCTTCTGTTGCATCTACGGCGTCGGGACGCTTGGCATGCCCGGCAACTTTGCTCGCGCCGGTCCAACGATCGCTGTTATTGCCATGGCATTCATGGCGTTTGCCAACATTTACTCCTCCATCGTGATGTCCAAGGTCATGTTGCTCTCGCCAAGGACCGTCAAGACGTTCGGAGACCTTGGTCAGTGGAGTATGGGCGCTACTGGCCGCTGGCTGTGCATCATCTCACAAATGGGCTCCTGCCTGCTTCTTCCATGCGTTTACCTCGTGCTTGGCGGTCAGTTGCTTGACGGTCTCTTCGTAGACGCGTTCAGTCAGGCGGTATGGATCGTTTTCATGGCCCTCATGGTTCTACCGGTATGTCTCGTGCCAACGCTGAAGGAAGGCTCAGCTGCCGCCTTTGCTGGCTGTCTGGGCACGATCATTGCCGACGTCATTGGTGTAGCAGTCGTGATGCACGGGATGCGAGGACACCCTAGTGTACCGTCCCCGGGGCTCAAATTCTCCCAAGTCGTGGGCGTTTTCGGCAACCTCACGCTTGCCTACGGTGCTGGGATCGTCATTCCGGACTTGCAGCGTCAACACAGCGAGCCTGCTCGCATGCCTCGAGTTGTGGGTGTGACGGTTGCCTTTGTGTCGGTCTTGTTTCTAGTGCTCTCGAGTACGGCGTACTCAGCTGTGGGGTGCCAGATCTCGGGCAACCTGCTCTTCACTATCTACCCGGACAGCGAGACCGGCCTGACGTCGCTCGGATTCGCACCGAACTGGGGCACCGTCGTGCTCGCTTACCTGTTCATGCAGCTCCACGTGACAATCGCGTTTTCTGTCGTTTTGAACCCGGCGTTCTACATCTGCGAGCGATTGTTCTTGAACATGCACAAGAGTGGCCTGGAGGACACTGACAATGGCTTTGATTTCGAGGAGAGCGGGTCCCCCATTAACGTGCAGCTAGGTGATGCTACCTCCTCAGACCGCCACTCGACGGTTCAATCGAATTGCCCTCCTAAGATACCCGACCCATCGGTAGCCGATTCGGACCGTGGGTATGTGGCCATCGAGGAGGATGAAGCTGCTGAGTACACTGGCTCCAATGTTATCAAGTACGTTGTGCTCCGAATGATCCTCGTCGGTATCCTCGTAGCCCTTGCCATCCTCTTCAAGGACCATTTCTCCGAGTTTGCCGACTTTGTAGGTGCTTCGTGCATCACGACGAACTGCATCCTACTTCCAATCATCTTTTACCTCATCAAGGCTTGGGACCGCGTCCCGGTGTACGAGAAGGTGGCTGCGATCATCGTCGTGGTGGTCTGTTTTATCCTCGGGTGCTACGTCACGTACACTAGTGGCAAGGTTCTATTCTCGGGTTCGGACGACGATGTCGAGTTCCCATTCTGCGACGGCGAGTTTGAAACCCGAATCTACTACAACTATACGGCCGAGCACACGCCTTAGATACTTCTGTCTATGGTAGTACCGTAAGCTTTCGTGTGCAGTTAGTTACATAAGCAGATTTTGTCAACATGCCAATTGGTAGTAGGTACACACACTTGTAGCCAACCTTGCGCATGTAAGAATCTACATCGGTCAGCGGAGTGATAAAACTTGCGCTTGTCAATATTCATGCAAGTTTTCCGAGCTGTCCTACGCACATTCACCGCCCCACGCGATGCCGTTAAGTGGTCGTTTGACCCTTAGCGATGACCATTAATCGTAATGAAGTTGTCAATTTGACTTTGAGGTCGTATCTATCGTCGCGTTTAGACATAGGCTCATTCCTCGACGGGCTTGCGAGTGAGCGCCAAGACAACCTGTATGTTTGATCAACATTCCCTGTAAGTTTCTGCTGTCGCCCTGCAGTAAAAGCTGCTTCTTTCCGTTGTATGCTTTGAGTTGTGTCCAGGTCCCGGTATCTAAAGGGCACACAGGTATCTTCCATTTGGGCGGTTGGCACCGCTCGCGTTCATGACAAGGGCTTTATCGTAGTTGTGGGCTAGAAGGCAAAAGCCATCACTAAAGTGCGGCTGGTTCTAGGTTCGTTACAAGCTAGCGGCATTGACTTGGCTTATTTCAACAATTACTCGCTTAAGTAATGTACGATTGATTTAGCGGGCGAGTTGCATCATAATTGGCATCAGTTAACAGCAACCGCGAAAGAAGATTTGCACCAGCAAACTCGTCGACGCATGCTCGGAATCAGGGATATCAATTGACTGGTCGCAATGCTTAAGCTACGGTCGCTGTCACAGTGACCAGCAAAGTGACCGTAAGTGACCTTAAGTGACCAGGCCCTAGTTTGATACATAGTTTTCTAGTTTGATGCCGCTTAGACCACACACGCACAGATGCAACGGTCACGGACACTGTGTCCGCAGATATTTGATTCAGTCAATCACTGCTTGGAATTTGTGCTTTACAGCTTGCTGGAAAAATTAATAAAAGGAAAGCCAACAACGTGCGGCTTGCTGGCGCCAGGCAGACGCACTAAACGTAGGCTGGACGTAAGCGGTCAAGTAGCAAAAAGTACGCACTCGAAACTTTTTGTGTTTTGCTTGCCCCCTTCACTGTACTTTGTGCTGCCATGTTGCTGTTGTTAGTGCAGCTACTGCGTACCAGAAAGTGGCCGAAGAACGCTTGTCGCAACTTAAGCAGCAGACGCTACCACACATGCACTATAGCTATTGTAAAGCCAAGCGTTTCATACGAGGTTAGCAAGGTCATCAGTATCATGCTGGATCCGTATTACGCACTCAACAGTTTTTTTGTTGCTGCGCCTTTGACTATAGTTTGTGCTTGCCATTTCAATTTGCTCGTTGTCGTTGTAATTGTTGTTGTTGCGATCGCTGTTTGTTTTTTGCTGTTAGTACTGCAGTTAGTGCAGCCTCAAGCTACAGGACAGAAGAGCTTTTCATGCGACGAAGTTGACTATCTCACCTGTTTTTGTTCTCCACCGCATGTGTGGTCGTGGTATCAGTGTCAGTGGCTTAAGCGGTACCCATTTTGTTCTTACTGCCATTTTTATGGCTTTACAATGCAGCTTTAAATATTTGCCATTTATCACCATACTTCTTAATCGCATTACAAACATATTTTGTTAATTTCTTCCAGTCATTTTTGTTTCATACATATAACATAAAAGAAACGACCGCCATCAATCTTGGTCAACTGCAGAACATGCTGACGACCATAGATGGCTTTCCGTTAAAGCACTTTGACTACGATGATAATTATGTAGATCATGACCCACCACGAGACAAGTGTTTATTTGATTTAACAGACATTAACTGGTTCTATTGTGTAGATGTTTGTACATCTCCCTCCTTGGCTACGCATCAACTCATCCCCTGATATCACCATCATCACAACTACTATTTACATCATCAAAAATTCACTTTCCTCCTCAATAGATGCACCTTCGGCCAAATGCACAGCTTGGTTATTGTGTCGGCCAAGATAATTGCAGGAGTTGCATTCACAATATTAATTATGTCATTGTCTTCCCGCGTCTCATCCGAACCGACGTTTGGCAGTGCTTCTTGTAAAAATTTCTTTTGTCCATCAATCTCCTCGAACTGTAGTGTTTCAACCTCGGTCAGATTACAAGGATCACCACCGGCTCTGATGCCGGTTTCTCCAAATAATGCCACTGTACCATTTTTTTTCAATAGTTGTAGGTAGCTGAATTTCGACCTTGCTGGGCCTCTGCATGCACTGATACTTTGCGTATTCATGTAACCATACCTCAGTTGTATTGCCCTTGCACCGAGTAAACGATTCATACTTTGATGCGAATAAAGCACAAATTACTCTAAACATCAATCGGCTGAGGCAGCAGACGAGAGTATTGACAAGAGCTACATGGCAATCTTCATTACATTAAAGTAACCCGTAGACAATGTCAGACACTATAAAAATGGCGGGGCAGGAAGCAGCACTTACATAATCTGAACATGTGTATGTGAGTCACATTGGTCACATTCACTTGTATGATACTATTGATGTAGGGGTCACTTTCGGTCACTTTGGATAAGTGACAAGGTCAGTTGACCTGGTAAATTTGACATCGGTCAGTCACTCACATCCCTGCTCGGGATGGTTTGGTTGTCAAGATCCTGGAATACTTGACCCGGGTATTGCTTAGTAACATAGTTACCACACTCAGTGTAACAAGGTGCCTCCGTTATATGATACTCTACATCAGGTGAATATCAAACACGAATATTATGTTACAGTAGGTAGTACATCATATTCTCACAATATAAGCTTAACAAGTAGTGTTGTGATGCAAAATTAATACACTGCTTATTGGTTGATACTGATCGATGTTATAACTAATTAAGACCGAGCCACGACGGAAAAAGCGATGGTTGATGAGTAGATAGCTGCGATACATGCATGCTTTTAAAATAGCTAAAAGACTATAAAGGAATAGATAACAGGAGAATTCATTTAACGAATATGGATCTACTTTTACCCTTTTCTCAAGTTAGAACCTTCGTCTGCACGGCGCGTGTAGGTGAAGTCTCTTTGCACCACCAACTTGATCTGTGTTTAGTGTAGCAGGTTATACTCTGACCGACAAGCGACCGGTGCCCCGTTATACTCAGCATGAACGTCATAGGAAAGGTGACAGTTGCGGTATTTACTTCTTCTGCCACATGCAAGTCAGTCGCAAACTTGACCGTATCTTTACTGAATATTGGCGTACGATCGACTGTGTCCTCGACGAAGCATTTTACGTGCCCACTCGTTCCTCATCTTTGATGCCGATAATACCAGGTACAAATCGAATGGCTCAAAATAAAAAAAAAACAGCCCCGAACCAAGTTCAATCGTCATTACTTCGACATTACAGGATAATAATACTGACTTCCAAAATCAAGAATCCTGGAACTCCATCAGATGCTGGTCATTACTTTTTGACTTGTCAAATGGTGACGATTAGCGCGTGTTATGCTTATAACAGTGAATGTGTGTTAGTTCCACACTGTTTAAGGGCTCCAGACAATGATTTGGGTCTTTCTGCATAGTTCATGATATTTTTATGCAAGGAATTAGAAAGCCCTAGGAGATGACGTGGACCGTTCACATGTTGCGGTCTGGTTGTTTCTGTAGAGGCTTTAACCATGTAGGGTCTGATACTGAAATAGCGTATTCTACGATTCAACCCAAAACAGGTGTCTCGGGGATCACTATAACGTACTTCTATAAGCCGACGCCTAGTTGAGCATCTCCCAGAGTCTGCAATATAACGTCCGAATGACGCAAGTGCTACTCAATATCTCCTAAACTTTCTTCGGCCTTATAAGAACTAACACACTGCCAAGTGATGAGACGCGTGGGCATTGTAGGGACGCATCACATAAGCGACCGCCTGGCTGAATGATGCTGGTGCATTTTGCAGTCCTTGTGGCATTACTATCCGCTCCCTTGACACACGATAAGTAGTGACAGGTTACACGTCAACTTCGCGCCATATACCTGTGTCTGCCGGTAGTCGGTTCAGAACTTCTGTAGTAAATACAAGACCGTGCTTCCACAGAACTTCGTAAAACGGACTGATTCTCGAGGCGTCCGCCTTGAGCAAAGAGCAATTTTGTCCGGATGGTCTTCAATACATTCTCGTTCATTGTGTTTGAAGATCTATAGTCCATGAAGTTCTCGGTTGGAACCTGTGCGACTATCTCATGAATCTTTCGTTCCTTTAGTTCGAACACGAACAAATTTCTCTTCATCTTCGAGCGATTTATCATCACTTCAGTAGATTCCACGACACACCAGAGCACCTTTGTCGAGGATGCTTTCGGAATCTTGTTATCGACGGCTTTGAACCTTTCGTTTGTAGGTACGTCTTCTAGGGCTAGGACTGGTCCAAAATCTACCCTTTTCGACATGCCTTTGTTCATTTTTACAATTCTTCTGGTGTGCGTCACACGTTGCACCAAGACATTACTTGACTTGGAAATGGTTATCGTTGATTTTTTTGCTAAAGTATCCCTTACAAAATCACGAGGATTATGGGTTTTGCGTCATTTTTGCAACAGTTGACTTATCTTCGGCTCTCTTTCAACTATACCAGACTGACCGAGCTGGTCAGTATTTGGTGGGGTGTGAACCACTGTCAACGCACCCTTGACTGCAATAAGCTCGGTATCATTTTTGTTAGCATCTCGCAAGACTACATCCTTTCCAGTGACTTTCATTTAATTAGCGAGCTTGCTGTTCGCCAGTCTATCTATTTTAACTGTTTCACCAACTAAGGCATGCCTAAAATGAGATCACACGGACTCTATATGCCTATCACTGTGAAATTCTCTTTACACGAGAAGTTACTAAAACCTAAGGTGTGTAAAACATGAAATGCCTCTGATTCCAATAGCTTATCAATTGGTAAAACAAGCGATGACTTCGTCGCGCATGCCAAACCGGTTAAGCGATAATACATCGCTGGAATA